TTATTTGCCCGCGGTTTGGCCGGCCGGTTCGGCTCGACAGCCCGCGGGACATGCAATCAGCAGTCGGCAGCCCGGTGCAGTGCCCCTGCCCAGCCTGCGCCAGCCGCGGCCAGCCGGTTTGTCCGCGTCTCTCTCGCACCCCTATGGAGAGCCCCATGCAGGCGACAGAGACAGCGGCCAACCGACTCTGAATCGCTCACCAGCGCCGTGCCGCCGACCAAACAATTACACTGCAGACTGATTCCGAGAGTCGTTGTCATCGCTCTGTCCCTCCCTCTGCACTCTGAGAAAAAATGACGGCATTAAATCCTGGATAATTTTTTTTGCCAAACTTTACCGTACTTCAAAAACCAGTATCCACCGTACAGTCTACAGTATTTACCGTACTTGTTTTACAAAATATTCCGTAGTCTTTTAACAGTAGTTACCGTTCTTCCGTACAGTCCATGCCGTAAGAAAGACCAGATCTGGTCCCAACAAAGGCCGCTTCCAAGAATTGTCCAAATCAGGATCTTGAAAAAAGGGGGTCGACCGACTGAAAAATTTTATTGCACCTTTGGATAGGTCTCGTCAAGACCTTTTCAACGAGTGGTCGGAAGGGGGGTCCAGGAGTCCGACTTCAGCAGTTTACGTACATCAGAATCTTGAAAAAAGAGGGTCAACCGACTAAAAAAAAAGAGCAGTTTTTGATAGGCATAAGTACGGTATTGCCGGGGGAAAAGTACTGGATTCCCTGTAAAAAAAAGTACGGTGCTGCCTGTAAAAAAAGTACGGCATTGCCTGTAAAAAATGACGGTATTGCCTGTTAAAAAGTACGGAAAAGTCTGGAGTAATCAGTACAGGATTTACCGTGATCTTTTCTCGCAGTGTGGGGCGGGCGCCCATGAGTGCGAGAGAGACACAAGCGACGGAAACGACTAGTGTTCTGCATTGGGCGGTCCGGCCGGTCCGGCCAATTTCGTTGCCCACGGAGCGACTGCAGCGCTGTGAACGCCTGGGTTCGCCACCGGCTGCCTCCGGAAGCACTCCCATGTTTTCGGAAGCAGGCAGGAATACCCCTCCTCACCCCTCGCCCTGCGACAACGCGAACTGTCCCGACAGGTGCTGCCCTCTAGGCGGCAAAAGTTGGCTCCGGCGGCTATCGGTCTGCCGGGTACCCGAGCGACCGACGGGGTCGGGCGGTCCACGGAGCGCCCGGACCGACGGCAAGCTCGGGCCGGGCGGTCCGGTCCGAGCGACGGCAGCGCCATCGGTCCGCGCGAAACGACACGGACCGCCCAATGCAGAACACTAGAAACGACTCTCGGAATCAGTCTGCTGGCAACTTGTTAATCGCGGACTCGCGGCCGCCTTCGCTCGCCTCACTTCGGCAACTCGCGCGGCCGATGGCAGCGGCGGCCAACTCACGCCGACAGGGCCGACACACAGTGGGCCAGAAGACCGGTGGAGATGGCCAAAACTCGAGACGCGTTTTGAGCTCCAGAGTCGCTAAATGGGCCTCGAACCGGACGTGTGACCCCACCAATGGGTTGCTCTCCGAACGAGGAATCCATTGGTGGGGTCACACGCTCGGTTCGAGTCCTGTTTAGCGACTCTGGAGCTCGAAACGCGTCTACAGTTATGGCCGCCTCCACCGGTCGTCTGGCCCACTGTGCGACAGGGCCGACAGCCGGTACAATAGTGCGCCACTCAGCGCCCCGTCTCTCTCACACTCGCGAGGCGTCCGCCGGGGGCCCGAGAGAGACAGAGCGATGAAGCCCCGTTCGGAATTAGACTGGGGGGCCGCATGTGCGCCACAGTCTGTCTAACGAGGGTCGTCCTCGGCCAGGACTCCGCCCCTGACTGGAGACGACAAGGCGCCCCTGCGCCCCTTACCGGGAAGGAGCGGCCTGCCGTGCCGTGCCGTGCCCTGCCCTGCCGTGCCGTACCCTGCCGTGCCGTGCCGTGCCGTGCCGTGCCCTGCCGTGCCGTGCCGTGCCCTGCCCTGCCCTGCCCTGCCGTGCCCTGCCCTGCCCTGCCCTGCCCTGCCCTGCCCTGCCCTGCCCTGCCCTGCCCTGCCCTGCCCTGCCCTGCCCTGCCCTGCCCTGCCCTGCCCTGCCCTGCCCTGCCCTGCCCTGCCCTGCCCTGCCCTGCCCTGCCCTGCCCTGCCCTGCCCTGCCCTGCCCTGCCTGGGGGCGCCTAGAGGCACCCAATACGTCGGGCGGCACTTTAGCTCTCAGCTTCGAGGAGGATAGGCAAGCTGTCCTGTTAGCAGTGTCTCAGAGCCATGCAGTGCGGTGCGCATAGTGCTGGCTGCGACATGGCCTGCTTGCTGACGACGCGCAACGCGCTTTAGATCGCCGTTTTAGATCGCTGGCCGCGGAGCCGAGCAAAGCACCACTGCCAGGCGATTCGGAAGAGTGGTTTGTCGCGCTGTCTCTCTCGCACCTTTATGGAGAGCCCCATGAGCGCGACGGAGACAGAGTGGCGAAACGACGCTTCTGAATCACTCGGCTGTGTTGCGATGCTGCGCTGCTGGTCCAGCCGGGCCCCTGCAGTGGAGAGGGTAGGCAACCCGACTGCGGCAGTGC